TTAAGTCCCTTGACTTCCCCTGGAACTGGTCCGTCCAGCTGGTCTTCTGGGGGAGGGGCCTGCTGCGCTGATTTTCAGGTGTTAGCACTTGGGGGAGCTGCTCCGCCCCTGACTGCTGCAGGGCTCAGCGGGGGTTGTTTACCCCGTGAGGTCTCAGGAGGAACAGTTGCAGTTGCTATGGCAACTCTAGAAGCCTGGATTCAGCCTCCGCAGGAACTACGGGGCTCGGGCTCGGGGCTCTCGGCTTTCCATCTGCAGGGCCTGGAGGCTCCGGGGCGGGGCCGCTGATCTGCTCAGTTCGGGGCAGGAGCGTCCTTGCTGTCCTGGGCCCTCCCGGCCTCTGCCTGTCCCGGGGGGAGGCCGGATCCTGGGCTGTGTCCCGGCGCCCTGTGCTCCGGGGCCTGCGCTGTTGGATTTGCGCTCCCGCCCCGCAGCCCCCTCCCTGGAGCCGCTCCCGAGCCCCTCCGAGCTGCTCCGGTCGGTCCCGCCGTGCGCGCTGCAGCCCTTAGGGAGCTCGGAGCACTCCCCTGCACGCGCAGGTGTCTGTTAGTGTCCCAGGGAGCCCGAGGGCATCCCCGCCCTCCTGGGTCCTGCTCCACCTCCCTGCGGGCCCCTTTCCGCCCGCCCGGGAAGGTTGGTGCAGCTCCTGCTCCTCCGGGACGGGGCTCTCCTGTCCTGGGGACACTCGCCCCGGCCTCAGCCCGGCTCCTCGCGGGGCCCCTCCCCCTCGGAGGCCTTTTGTTTCTTTATTTCTTCTTCCCCGTCTTCCTACCTTGATAGAAGCGCGGATTCTCCTCACTGTAGCGTTCCAGCTGGTCTCTCTTTACATCTCAGGCCGAATTCGTAGATTTTCAGGATGGTTTGAAGGTTATCTAGGTAATTTGTTGGGGACAGGTGATTTGGGGACCCTACTCTTCCGCCATCTTGCCCCTCCTCCTCATTATATTTTCTTTCTGCTGTTCTGATTGGGTGAAGTCCACTGTCCTATCTTCAAATTAACTGAAAAAATTTTTAAAAGATTTTATGTATTTATTCATGAGAGACAGAGAGAGGGGCAGAGATATAGGCAGAGGATGAAGCAGGCTCCTTGTGGGGAGTCTGATTGGAGACTTGATCCCAGGATCATGATCTAACCCAACCACTGAGCCACCTCCAAGGGTCCCTAACTGAAACTTTTACTTTGTTCATCTAGCCTGCTGTTGAACCACTCTAGTCTGTTTTTAAGTTTGGTTATTGTAGTCTTCAGTTCTGTGGCTTTTAGTTGGTACTTTCTAGTATTTTCTATCTCTTTGTTGAAGTCTCACTGTGTTCATTCATTCTTATCCCAAGTTTGGTGAACATCTTTATGACCATTATGTTGAGCTCTATATCTGATAAATTACTTACCCCTGCTTCATTAAGGTTTTTTTTTTTTCCTGATGTTTTATCTTGTTCTTTTATTTGGAACATATTCTTCTGTTTCTTCATTTTTTTTGACTTAGTTTCTCTGTATTAGAAGAAATATCTACCTCTCCCAGTCTTGAAGTGGTGGCCTTGTGTAGGAGATGACTGTTGCCATTCAACCCTGCCTTAGCTCTTGGTTTTCTCTCAGACCTTTGTAATTGTCTAAGCTACCTATTATATTTTTAATAGCTCCCGGTAGCTGAGGGTATGCCAAAACCTGTTGGTGTCACAAAGGGGAGGATCTCAACCAGCACCTAGATTCAGGCTAATTGGAAGATAGACCATCTATCTTCAGCTATTAAAGTATGCAAGTATGCATAGTCCTTTGGGATTGTAAGCATAAGCCCTGTTGGCTACCAGAGCTAGACAATCTAGAGGTGCCTCTGGGCAGTAATCACAAGAATTGGGGCTCCATAGTATTATGGGAGGTTTTTTCTGGGAGATGATAGCAAGCTGTTTCAAGGCAGAGGGAGAGTACAAAGATGGCATCCACTGGGTAAATTCCCTGAGTAGCTCCATAGGCCCCTAGGAAGAATGTAAATATAGCATCCACTAGAAAAAGAAAAAAGAAAGAGATTGTGCCTGTTGGCTAGAGCAAGGCAGTGGAAGAGTGTGACAATGCTGCCCACCAGTCTTTTTCCCCAGAGAGGGTTTCAGCAGGCTCTTAAGTGTATCAAATTAGATGTCTGCCCCTCAGGCCAATGCTTCATATAAGCAGGTGAATCTTTTTCACTTAAAGTCTGAGTGCTACCAGCTGCTTCTGAGCTGGGCTCTGGGTGGTTGAGTCTAAGCATGATGTGAGCCCTTTGAGAGCTGTTTCTTAGATTGCTACAGTCTTATGGTGTGAACTCTCTTGGTTTTCAAAGCTCCATGTTTTGGGGGTTCATCTCTCAAGTGCAGATCTTAAAAGTTGGGATGCTGGATATGGGTTCAAATTCTGCTCCTCAAGGACAAGCTCCAGGTTTTGAATTTCCCTCCTGACTATAGGTCTCCACACTTCAGGTGAGGTTTATGGCAACTTATGGCAAGATTGTGTCCTTGCCTCTTTTACCTGCTTTGATGTGGCTTTTTTACCTACCCAATGTGTAGTTGCTGCTTAGCCAGGCTTTAGTTTTTTTTCAGAGGAAATTGTTCCATAAGTAGCTGTAGATTTGGTATGTCTGTGGGAAGAGGTGAGTTAAGAATCTTCCTACATCACCATGTTGAACTGGAACCCATCTTTCTTATTTTTTAAAAAATAATTGTCTTATATTGAAATAATTTCACACCAACAAAAAATTGCAAAAATAGTACAAAAACTTCTCTACATCCTTTGCCAGAAAGCTCTTTCAAGCTTTGCCAATTATTCCAATAATGTTTTTATAGCAAAAGCACCCAAGCCAAGATCAGGTGTTGCACCCAGCTGTCATGTTGCTCAATCCTTGAATCTGGATCAGTTCTTCATCTTTTTTTTTTTTTAATTTTAATTTTGTTTTTTGACATTCTTTCCCTGCCTCTCTTTCTGAAGAGTTAATCACTATTCTTAAATTAGCTTAATTAAATCTATTGTGTTTTATATCTTCACTGATTATATATATGGAACTCTACTAGTTTATATTTTAAACTACATAAATGGTATCATACAGATGCAATCTTTTGTGATTAGGAATCTAATACTGGTTGTTTTTTTTTTTAAGGTTTTATTTATTTATTCATAGAGATGCAGAGAGAGAGAGAGACAGAGACACAGGCAGAGGGAGAAGCAGGCTCCATGCAGAGAGCCTGACGTGGGACTCGATCCAGGGTCTCCAGATAATGCCCTGGGCTGCAGGCGGCGCTAAACCGCTGCGCCACCGGGGCTGCCCAGGAATCTAATACTGTTGTTTGTCATGTCTGATGATTCCTTTTATGTCTTGTAGCTTCTTTTTGAAAAAAAATGAACTAATTTTTAGTAATTTAAAAAAAAATTTGCTTCTGTCACAGATCCTTGTGGTTATCCCTGGCCAGAGACCAATTTTTATATGAATTTCTTTCTGGACTTAGAAGTTCCAGGATTATTCAGATATTGTAAATTTGAAACCCAAACCTCCTGGAACACAAATCATGATGATACATTCTCTTGGAAGACCATTTTCCCTCTCTTTTCAGAGTTCATGCCATGACAGAGAAGCTTCTCTGTCCTCTTGGTGTGCTAGGGGGTACATTTTGTCTAATTTATCCTTTCATTGAGGATACACAACTTCCCAGAGGTTTTTTTTTTTTTTTAAGATTTATTTATTTATTCATGAGAAACACAGAGAGAGAAACAGAGACATAGGCAGAGGGAGAAGCAGGCTCCTTGCAGGGAGCCCGATGTGGGACTCAATCCCGGATCCTGGGGTCACACCCTGAGCTGAAGGCAGACCCTCAACCGCTGAGCCACCCAGGTGTCCCAACTTCCCAGAGTTTTAATTTATGTATGTAGGGAGAGAGTATGAGGAAGGGCTTATAGTTTCTAATCTCTGCTTTCAGCAAGTGCTCAAAATTTTGTCTTCAGTTATCATATGGGCTTAAACATTCCAGTACCTTCCTTACAGAAACCTGGGTACAGTGACTTACCCAAATAAGTAAGCTTCACTTACTAGGCAGCTCGGGGGGGGGGGGCAGCTTTCTGTGTTTCAATTTTGCTGTTCTTAGCATGTAGCTTTCATCCTCTTTTTCACAAGATGGTTTCATATTTCCAGGGATCACATATATCTTTAAGGTTGAAAAAAGAAAGAAAGGTGAGGAAGAAGGTACTTGCCAACTGAGGCTGCTTTCTCTTTTTTTTTTTTAAATCAAGAAAATAACTTTTTCACAAGCCCCATCTAGTAAACTTTCACTTACGTCATTGGCCAGACCTGGGTCATTTGGTTTCTTGTTATACAATAGAGTTTGGTAAATCCAATGTGCCCTGTTTAAAAATACTAATATTTAACAAGGCCCATTGTTATCCTGAACAAAACAGTGGTGCTGTTAGTAAGGAAGAAGGTAAGAATAGTTACAGGACAAACAACTATCAATCTCTGCCATGCTACTGAAAGGCAAGAACTGAAAATCTCCTGGGCTCTACTACAGTGCAACTTCCTCTCAGTTTTTAGGATGATAAATAGAGCAGCAAAAAAACTTGCAGAGCACGGTGCAAAATGAAAGTATGAAGCCCCCAGTTCAAGGAGCAGGAGGAAAGTGGCATTCAAAGGCACTAAAATAAAAAATAAATTTTGTCTAATTTAAAATGTTATCTAGTCTGTGGTTTCCCTTCTGTGGTTTCTTTTTCAACTTTCATAGTATTTTTGTTTTTTATTTGCTATTTAACATAATTCTAAACAAGAAAAACTAAAAATTTAAATTGTTAGCATGAATTTACTATACATCTTCATATTGTACAATGCCAATTTTAAAATGAAAATATAAGAACATTTAACATGTATGCATAATGATCTTTCGATCATTGACACAATTTGTATCTCATATGGTGTATATGCATTTACATTTCATTATTACCAAAATAGTGTTGCAAAAATCTAATTTAATTTCTAAAATTTTGTTTCTTGATATAGGCACATTGTACCATTATTCTCTACCTTTGGCTTACTAATGAGTGAGGAAAGACTAAAAGGAAGAACTATGGATTGCCCTTTCCTTCTGTCATCCTGTTCCATGGTGTAAGTGATTGGCAGTTTCCATACATTCTTGCCTTGTACTCTGGTTAGTCTGTTGGAATTTTTTCTTCATGAAGTATTGCAAACACTGTGTGAGTAGGGAAGCAAGGACCTGCAGTGGACATGTGTATCCAAAAGTGCTGATATGGAAAGATCTCCAAGGTGTATTTTTTAAAAGAAGCAAGGTGCAGAACAATTTTTGAGTCCTCTGTGTAAATAAAAAAGGAATGTGTGTACTTATATAAGTACATTGTATATGCATAGCTTAAAAAAACAATATAAATAAACTACACTGATTATCTTTTGGGAAAAGGTACAGTGGTAAGGAGTGAGAATGGTTTGAGCTTTTCACTTTTCATTTGTATCTTTCTTTACTGCTTGGATTTTCAGTCTGTGTATGTACTTATAACACTTTCTATTTTTATTTTTTGGATTTTAGAGTAGCAGTTTTATTGATTTAATAAACAGTTCCTACTCATTAGAAATATTCAAACAGCAGGGGCACCTGGGTGGCTCAGCGGTAAGCATTTGCCTTCAGCTCAGGTCATGATTCCTGGGTCCTGTGATGGAGCCTTGCTGAGCAGAGAGCCTGCTTCTCCCTCTTTTTCTGCCCTTCCCCAACCCACTTATGCACTCTCTCTCTCTCTCTCTCTCAAATAAAATCTTTAAAAAGTGAATAGCTAAACCTCATGTATTTCTTCTATATGAGAGAGATTAGATACTACAAGATCCCTCTTGGAGTCATTAGAGTAATTTTGTATGAGTTTTTTTTTCCCTTCTTAAAAAACTATCTGTTTCAACCTTAGACGTTATCTGTTAAATTATTATATTAAAGGTGAGCTAATGGGAGCACACATTTTTAAATTTTTCCTTTGTCATCCTACAACCTTACATAGCTTTTATTATTTATATTTTTCAGTCAGGAGTTAAACAGAGGGTCAGCATTAATGTCCAGTGTTATTGGAGGATGTAGGAAAGCAAGTGCTCTCATACACTGTTGGAGGAAGTATATGATCAAGATATTTGAAATGGTAATTTACATATTTGTCAAAATTTACAACGTATAAGCTCTTTGACTCAGAAATTCTATTTATAGGAATCTATTCAAAGTCATGTTTATGCAAAGATAAGCAAACAAATATTGTCTTGCAATATTGCTTTTTTCCCTAAATTTTTGTTTAAATTCTAGTTAGTTAACATAAAATGTAATATTGATTTCAGGAGTAGAATTTAGTGATTCATCATTTACATATACCACCCAGTGCTCATTGTAATAAATGCCCTCCTTAATACTCATCACCCATTTATGGAAAAAAATCCCTAAGCTATGTTCTTAAGGGGGAAAAGCAAGTCATATAACATACCTACAGTGTGATTCCATTTATTTATTCATACACCTACATAGGTACACAATGATACACATAGAGAAAGAGACAAAGAGTGGGAAGGGCCTCGGAGGATAAAGGGGGAAATTTCACATTTAATCATATATACTTGGGCAGCCTGGGTGGCTCAGTGGTTTAGCGCTGCCTTCAGCCCAGGATATGATCCTGGAGACCTGGGGTCGAGTCCCACGTCAGGCTCACTGCGTGGAGCCTGCTTCTCCCTCTGCCTGTGTCTCTGCTTCTCTTTCTCTCTCTCTCTCTCTCTCTCTCTCTCTCTCTCATGAGTGAATAAATATTTTTAAAAAATCATATATACTTAATAACTACTCTAGGATTTTACAACAGAAATGCATTCATTGTATAAAAGAGTGAGGAAGGGGAAAATAAACAGAATTCCAGTTTCTTTTGAAAAATTTATTATGTGAGAACAAGGAATCTAATTAATTATGTCTGGTATTTCATGTTTAAGAATTAATATAATAATTAAATCTGCATTATGTTTCAAATGAAAAATTTTGATGCAATTCACATGACTTCGATATCAGCCATATATTATTAGCCAACAAGCCAAAACATTCCCTCACCTCAAAATGACATAATTTCTTTCCTATTATGCTTAGGATCTTGGAATAATTTAGCTCATCACATCATTTAATCCTGAATAAAAGTGTTATTGGCCGCATTACTCTCTTTCAAAGCATTTGTAGAAATATCTTGCCCTTTATGCCCATGTTTTCACTAAGAGGACTAAATACTTATTCCACTATAAAATAAGGCCTGATTTTAATTTTATTTTGTACTTCAGTTAGTGATACTACTTTGTGACTTGGAATGAAGATAAACAAGGAAGAGTAAAATAACAATATTTTATTAAATAACATTTAATATTTAAAATAACATTAAATTAATGCAACTCACACTAGCAATAAGCTTTCTATCCTGAAAGGTACATATCAGTTATTAACTGATGCTTTGAAGTATGGAAGTAAGAGAGGTATGGAGATATTGGAGACCCAGTCATCAGAGCGGTATAAGTTTAAATTCTTAAGCTTTCGAGAAAAATTTCAAAAGGACCCACTTAACCTGTTGCTCACCAATCAGATCAACTAGCAGATGCCTATTATGAGCAACCCCTATGATATATTTGGTGGATACCAACAGTGAAAGATAGTCCCTTCTGTCAAAGAACAGGCACACATAACATGCTGAAGGTCAAATCTAAGAAAGCTTAGCTTTGAAGGCATTTAAGTGGTCAGTGGAGTTATAGATATTCAGAAATCTTGCTAAGAAGTACAAAATATGATCCTCGTGCTCTGGGGGCAAATAATCTGGTTTTATTCACATGCAAAGAAAACCTACACTGTGAGGCTGTGTATTGCCAAGTATTAATTGAGTAGAAGAGAGAAGTGCTATGGGACATCATAGAAGGGACTCCACTATACATGAGGTAGTCAGGTAAACCTGACAGCATGGGAAAGAAGACTGGGTTAAAGATGCAGACTCTAGAGTCATTTACATAGATGTGATAGATAAGGTTTCCATCTGGAGATGTACAGAATGAGAAGGAAAGGAGGATTAAAACCTAAAGAAAATAAGAGTGTGTGAAAATGCCATTAAAAAAATAAAACATCCAGAAATTTAAAATACATTTAAAATAAACATTTTATGGACTGATAGCTTATTAGATACAGAAAAAGAGATATTAATAGATGGAAGAGAGTTCTTAGGAAATTATACAGAAGGTAGCATGGAGAAATAGGGAATGAAAAGTATGAATTAAGAAAACTGAGGTGAGGGGTGCCTGGGTGGCTCAGTCGGTTAAGTCTCTTCCTTCGGCTCAGGTCAGGCCTGCGATAGAGCCCCATGGTTAGACTTCCTGCTCAGCAGGGAATCTGCTTGTCCCTCTCCCTGTGTTCCTCCCCTCCACTCATGCTTTCTCTATTTCTCTATTTCTCAAATAAAATATCTAAAAAAAAAAAAAAAGAAAAAAGAAAACTGAGGAAAGAGTGAGAAAGTTACTATCCAGCAAAATTTCCAGAAAGCAAGATAAAAAGGAGAGAGACAAGTTTGATGAAATAATTGTTGATAATTTCCCAGAGTCGTTGAAATAATGTCTCAAAGTCAATAATCAGGAGCATCAAGCTGAATAAATAAGAAGTACACCTTAGACATGTTGCAGTGAAATTGTAGTGCAGCAAAGAAAAAACCATCACCTTAGAGTGCCAAATAATGGCACCTTTCAGATAAAGGCTGAGAAAATTTACCTCTCCCAGACTGTCACTGAAAGATTAAAATAGTTACATCAATGTTTTACATTGTTGGAAGATGTATTCATATACATTGTGTACATAAGATACATGTACAGTGTAGTAAGTGGTAAAAGTATTAAAACAAGCACAGGAGTAAGAAATGTATCAAAATAGTGATTATCCGTGGGAGAAAGGAAGAAAATAGAATTGGAATTTCGTTTGTACTTCTTAAGCTAGTATATATGGGCATTCATTATATTCTTATTTATGTGTTTTTTTGTTTTTTAAGAGCATGAGTAGAGGAGGGGCAGAGGAATAGGGAGAGAGAATCTTATGCTCAGCAGCTCAGAGCCCAACATGGGGCTCCATCTCATGATTCTGAGATCATGACTTGAGCTGAAATCAAGTCAGTTGCTTAACCAACTGAGCTACCCAGGCACCCCATTATTTTTAAGACTTTTTTTTTTGGGTCTACTTCAAATATATTTAAAAAGGCAGGAGAAGGTTTTAAGAAAGAGAATGAACTACACTATAAAATATATAAAATATTGCACCAGAAAATGAGACCAGGAAATTCCACAATTTTGTATTCTAAAAGGCCACGGAATGTGGTCCAGAGAATTATTTTCCTAGGGAAGGGAGAATGGAGACATCCTTTACAGGCTGCCTACATCTACCCTTTCTCCTTCTTTCCTGTTATAATAGAGGAGTTGTCCTTCTGTCCATTGAAGATCAGGCCTTTCTCTGTTCTGAATCCTATCTCTCCCACCTTTTTAAGACTCCTATATTTATCCCTTTTCTTTCCTATTATTTTTGTTCTCTCCCTTTCTACAAGTTCCCTAGCAGCATTCAAACATGCTTAAGTCTCTCCTAGTTTTAAATTCCTAAATTGCCACAAAACCAAAACCTGCCTCTATTTACTCTCACGATGTTATTCTAACCACTGCCTTATTTATCTCCCTCCCATGTGAGCCAAACATCTTAAAATAATTATCTCCAATTTGTGTCTCCATGTCTATACCTCCTATTTACCTCTGAAACCACTCTAAATGTAGCTCCTCCCCACCCACCAAACAAAAATTACTCTTCTAAAGGTCACTAGTGATTTCTCTCTCTTATTCTTTTACCATTACTTGGTATTTTGTACCACTTCCTTCTCATTCACCATCATGATAAATGCAGTATTTAGAGAGAATTTGCCATATTCCAGGCACTGTGTTAAGTACTTTATGTGCATTACTTGCTTTTTTCCATATCTCTCTTCTTCTACTTCTACTGATTTTCCTTCTACTTCTCAAGTGGATATTCTTCAGTTTCTTTACTCATCCTCATCTCTCTGACCTTTAATAGATGAAGTTCCTTGAAGGCA